TCAGTCCATTCGACGTCTTTTTGGACGTAATTTCTGTCTTGTGTTCGAACGGCACAACATTTAACTCGAAATTCGCTCTTCTTTTCGGTTCGAACTCAAAGTTCGCCAAAGAATTCGGAGAAACGAAAGAAAAGTGCGATTTTTGGTCTGAAATCGGAGTTTGCGTTAAAAAGGGAATAAAAATCAAACAATTATTGAAATTACCGGAAATTGGAGTCAAATATGAGTCGATTTTCGCCACATTTCGTCCGGAATTGTCTTCAGTTCGCGACTTTATGTTCAGCGCCTTCGCGTCCATCTGGATGTCCGTCACGTGACTGTACTTCGGGTGCTTCGACTCGAACTGCAACATCCGCTGTCTTCCACTAAAAGGCTGGATCTTCAACTTCGCGTTCACTTCCGGTCCGAACTTCAAGTCCATTGTCGACGGAATCGAAGCGTCCAAATGGTTGTACCGCGCGTTCAACGCCATCAGCGGCTCCTTCTGCTGACCAGCGGTCAAGCGGTCAGTGCGCGACACCACGGAGTACTGTCGTTGGCGCGGATTGGCCTCCAGTTCGGTCACGTGACTGTACGGGTAGTAGAAGTCGGGCGAACCGTCCAATTGGAGGCGCACTTTGGGAGTGGCGGGCGAGTAGTGGGCGTTCACCTCGAAGGGCGTGGTCTTCACCTGGAAGAGCGTCTCCCTGAGGGGGGCGTGTTTTGCGATGACAATCACGTGATCGTTGGTTCGCTTCAACAGAGTCTTGGAATCCAAACCCCAGTCGCTGCCACCCCATTGGCCGGCAGTCACGTGATCCAAGTGGTGACAGTTGTACTCGAATTTCGCGCTCTTCGCCGGCGTTGCGCTCATCTGAGAGGTGAAGAGTGGACTCACGAGACGAACGGTGGACTCGTTGTTGAGATCGCGGTTCAAAACGGCGTTCAAATCGAAGACTGAATTTCCGTTTCTTTTGTTTTTCGATTCGATTGTCACTAAAAATGAGCGAAAGTTAGAAAAGAATTCACAAAATGAGAGATCTTTTCATACTTTGGTTCGAATTCCACATGAGTTTCGAATTGGTGTCGAATTTCGGCGATTTTCCCGACAATCGAATGAACGGTTCGTTCGAAGAGTGCTTTCCTTCGAAATCGAATTGATATTCGTTTCCGAACTTGGATTCCATTGAATGCAAACCAATGTCTCGATTGTATCGATAATCGAACGCTTGGATCGGTTCGCGATTCAAATCCGATTTCGATTGAATTCTCAGCGCTTTTGGCGAGAAATCGAATTCCGATTTGTGCTTCAAATCGCCGAAAATCACTTCCAAATCGCCGTTTCTTCGGCCGGCGTTCACGACATCCGTATTCATCACAATTGAGGACTTCTTGAGCGGAAAGTCGAGCGAAAGGAACGACTTTTTGTTGCGATTCAGTTCCGAATCGAACGAAAGAATGGGTTTTCCTTTCATTTCGGT